GGGATGGGAGGGGGAGAGGCCGAGGGACTTGCGAAGGACGGGAGGTGGGGGCTCCGGGAGGGAGCTGCACGGTGCTCTCCGTGAACATCTACAAGGAGGGGATGAACCCGTGGGTGGAAGACCCTCGATGCCCCGAGGTCCAGCCTCCCACACCTCCTTCACCCGATTGCTGCTAAACAACAAAAAAGACCAGTATAGCAAGCCACACTTAGAAACAGATGAATGAATCACGTGACAAAATGATTGCATGGTCCCTTTGAGACTCAGTGACTTTTTTTAAAAAAGTGTTGTTTCTTTTTTAATATATCTTTATTGATTTCAGAGAGAGGACAGGAGAGGGAGAGAGGGATAGAAACATCAATGATGAGAGAGTCACAACCCGGGCATGTGCCCTGACGGGGAATCGAACCCCGATCGCCTGGATCCCAGGTCGACGCTCAACCGCTGAGCCACGCCTGGCCGGGCAAGACTCAGTGACTTTCAAACTTTGACCAGCTCCACCCACAATAATGTGTTTTACATCTCCCCTAACACACACACCCATATAAATATATACACATATATAACTGAAGTAAAAGCTTAACCAGACAACACATTTATCTTTACTACGTATATATGATATATAATATGTGAATATATAATACGTATATACTCTAATGTTTTCTATTCTCTTTTTTTTTCTGCTGCTGGTCGGGATCTGCTAAATTGATTTTATGAACTCCCCTCCTCCCCACTAATGAGTCTAATCAAAGCATAGGATCCCAGATAATAAAGTATCTGAGGGAGAAACTTAAAGTTACTGTTGCAGATCAATGAGAAATTAAGATAATATAAACCTGATTGGAAAAATTGGTAAGAGAGTAGATCCTAAGAGTTCTCATCACAAGGAAAAAAATATTTTTTTTCTTTTTTGTCTCTATATGAGGTCATGGATATTAATTAAACTTTTTGTGGTATATGCAAGTCAAGTCCTTATGCTATACACCCCCAACTTATACAGTGCTGCATGTCAATGACATTTCAATACAACTGGGGGAAATTTTCAAAGATAAGATAAACTTGAAACTATAGTGGTGAAAACAGACATTAAAATGCTTTTATTTTTATTCATTTTCATGTTATGAGATAGGAGATAAACTACTGAGTCCCATCCCTGCCAGACCTCAGGGATGGCATGGTTGGGAGGGAGAAGGGACACTGGGCAGAAGGGGGGCAAAGGTTGGGGTGATAACTTGGCTGCTCTGGCTGGGTTGGTAGCTCCTGGTGACCCTGGGACCCAGGGAAGGATGAGTCCCAGAATCGGGGGTTAGAAGGAGAGAGCTGGAATCCTACTAGAGTCAGTAGAGATCATTTGTCCAGCTTCTTTGTAGTACAACATAGGGAAGCTGAGTCTCAAACCTGCCAGAATGATTTAGCTGGGACCTGGGTGCTCTCCAGTGCCTCTGGAGGCCTGGGTGAGCACTCCATCCATTTGCCCCAAGAGCTTCCCATGAACTTCTCTTCCCAGGTGTGGCCACTGCAAGAACAAGCCGTGTTCTGCGGACACAGGCAGCTGTGAGTCCTGTGAGCCAGGCTGGAATGGGACTCAGTGCGACCAGCCCTGCCCACCTGGCACTTTTGGCGAGAGCTGTGGGCAGCAGTGTCCCCACTGCAGGTTTGGGGAGGCCTGTCAGCCAGACACTGGGCACTGTCAGAGCTGTGAACCTGGCTGGCTGGGGCCCAGGTAAGGGGCCAACCTGCTCAGGGTGGTGTGCACCTTCCTACAGAATCCTAACTCCAGTTGCTCCCTCTGGGATAGGTGCCCCCTCCCCCAAACACACACTCACACAGCCCCCTGGGTCCTGCCACCTGGCAAAGACTGAAGGGAGAGAAATGGATGCTGATGAGGCCTTGGGCAGGGTTCTCTTCCAACTCCCTGCTACTCAGGCTTCCTATCTTCTCCCTGCAGGGATCTCTAGTCTGTCACCCAGCCTATTGGGTTTGGCCCCAGCTTCAAGCCCCTATTTGTACCTGAGCTTCACTGCTGAGGACCCACAGTTGGGTCCCTGAGTCCAGAAGCATGGGGAAGATGGGTAGGTCCCCTTATGAGGAGCAGGCCTGCCCTGTTCCTCTTTCCAAGTCTTGCCTCACCTCAGGTGTGAAGACCCCTGCCCAAGTGGCACCTTTGGGGAGGGCTGTGGCTCAACCTGCCCCACCTGTGTTCAGGGGGCTTGTGATGCTGTGACTGGGGAATGTATCTGCAACGCTGGCTACTGGGGACCCAGGTGAGGACTGGGGCCCTGGCAGAGAGGCAGGGGCCTAGGTCAGGCCTCTGTGCAATCTGTTTCCTTAACTTCTCCACCTCCCAATACTCAGCATCCTCAAAACTGAGAAGTCATTCTTCCTGTTGTGGGGTCTGCATCTTCCAAAGGAGGGCCAGAGTGATGCTTAATTTAAAAGGCCTGGCTCCCTACCCAGAAGGGGAAGTTACTTAGGGGTAGGGGTCCTAACCCCACTTTTGTTTCCCTAAGATCTTCAGGTAGTAAAACGTATTTCATGTCAGTGTCTCCACTGTCAGGTTTTCCACTTCATGCCCATCTGGCTAGAATCTGGGATAGAATCTAGTATAAAATGGAAGATCCCTCATTTTATAGAGGAGAGGACCAAAGCCCAGAGAGTCAGGGGCAGGGCTGGACCTGGCTGGTTCCAGAGTCTGAGGATGCCTCTGCATGCTTAGTTCATATTAGTGCTGGGTGGGTAAGGGATGAGGCTCATGAGAAGTGGACTCTGCCTGAGGGTTACTCCCTGGGGCTGGGGACCAAAGGACAGCTTGTGGGTGGTCTCCCTGGAAGATAGGCTTAGGGGCTGAGGGATTCTCCCAGATGCTGCCAGGGTCACTGAGAATGTGGCTCAGAGGCAGGAGAAGTCTGCCCGGGCATCGTCCAGGGAAGTCTGAATGGCAGAGGTGGGGAGCAATGCCCAGAAATCTACCTTCATCTATCCCCTGCCCACCTCCATCCCTCCTCAGCCAACCTTCAGCCTGTCTCTCCTTGTCACCCCACAGCTGCAACACTTCATGCCCATCTGGCTTCCATGGAAGCAACTGCTCTGTTCCCTGTGAATGCCCAGAAGGACCCTGTCACCCTGTCTCTGGAGCCTGCCAGCTGGGTAAGGTGGAAAGGAGGGTGCAGGATACAGACCCAGGGAAAGATTGGCCCTTTACATGGGCTCCAGAAGCTCATTTGCCAGGGAGGCTGAGCTCACTTCAGAGACATTCCCTATGCCTGAAATCTGTATGGGTGCTTTGGGGGTCCCCTGAAGATGTGATAGAACCCCTGTTCCCTGAGAAACCAGGCTAGCACCCAGGAAATGAGCAAGTAGGGGTGGACACTGGGATGTACATCAGGCATGAGAACTATGGGGAAGGGCTTGTGGAACAGACCATAGACCATCAGAAGGGGACAGACCAGCAGGGTGGCTGTCTAGAGGAGGGGGCCTCTAGGCTGAGCAAAGCCTATGTCTCTAAGAAGAGAGACCCATAGATGGAAGACTCCGGGGAGGAGGCAACTCAGCTAGAGATGAGACATTTATGGGAGACGGGAAGGCCCTGAATATTTGACCACTGCTTACTCTCCTCAGGGTCTCACAGCCAGGAGGCCGCCCTCATTGCCGGCATCCTTGTGCCTCTGCTGCTGCTCCTCCTGGGCATTGCCTGCTGTGCCTGCTACTGTTGGGCCGCCCGGTTGGATCCCAAGGACAGGTGAACACTGGCTTTCCTTTTAGGGGTGAGGAAGGGCTGGCCTTGTCACACACTTAGGTCAGAATTAATGGAGTAGTTGGCAGTGGCCGTAGCCTGGAAATATCAGGTCAGCTGCTTGCCTTCTTCAGAAGCCTTCAGTGGAAGCCAAGGAGCAGGGCCACCAGACTAGTGAAACTCAAACCCACAGCACAAGGCTGAAGTATACCTAGGGGACCAGAGGAGGAGGGTGGCAAGGCAAAAGCAGCAGGGCAGCTCTGGGCAGGGAGTGGAAGAGAGCAGGTCTCACATCCCCCAGAAAGGAGAGTGACATAAAAATCTGAGTAGTGGTTTAGCAGAGAATGTGGCTCTCCCAGAAAAGAAGAGGAAGGGTTTGGTCTTGCGGCCTGCTGGAGACTGTTGTTTCCAAAGAGTTTTGTTTCTTTACAAAATCACTTCACATTTCTTCACTCTTTGGAGACTCGCCGTAGCACAGACATTTGGAGCAGGGAATGTGGGGGAGGAGGATTAGCAGAGGACAGAGGTCACTGATCAGGTGACTTGGCTGGTCACCGGAACTCACAAAGCCTGGACCCTGTTTTCTGGACTCTTTGTCTAGTGCTCTCTTACAGTTTGTACACTAATCCTTGAGTACATCATCCTATGTGCTGGGGGGCATTCACAGATGAGCAGACCCAGTAGCCTGTCCCCTGGGGCATAGAACCTGGGGTGGGGAAGAAGCCCCTCACATGAGGACCAGGACATGTACAAAGGCTGTCAGAGGAACGGTATGGAATGAAGCAGTCACTTTCAGTGTGGGAGTGGGGCCAACAGCAGACTTCCTGGAGGTGGTGTCACTTCCAGAAAACCAGGTGAGCTAGGACTCAGCTAGGATGATGATAGCACATAGCTGCATTTTGGGGAACCCCACCTGGTGCCTGGTGCTGTGTGGGGTCCTGAAAAAAACTCTGATAGATTGTAGTCGTCCCCATTTTACAGATAAGGTAACTGAGGCCCAGAAAGAGGTAACGTTTGAACAGAGTACCTGCCCCAGGTCTATTTGACTTTAGAGCCATGCTACCCTCTGTGGCAGGCCCAAATCTCAGCCTCAATAGTTTGGACTTTACTCTGTGGTAATAGGAAGCCACTGAAGCAGACACAGCCACTCTGTCACCCTGTCTTCCTCACGCTAACCTCGGGACTAGGATGGGCCTGGCCCTTTTGTCCTGCTACCACTCTGCCCCAACCAGTGGTCTCACACACTGACCACCCTCCTTCGCCCTCAGGCCAGCGAGAGATGGATCTGCTGTGTCCAGGGTGAAGTTCCGGGTCTGGGAGGCACTGAGCAGCCCGAGCTCTGTGCTCCTCTGCAGTTCCCTCAGCAGCCACAAGCTTCCCTGGGTGACAGGTGGGTGCTGAGGGTTGGGGCTGGAATGGGACAAGGTGTCCCATCAGGCTCTGCACCTGACCTGGAGCCCTCCCCCCAGTCTCCCACCACGACCCGGAGATCCCCTTCAACCACAGCTTCATTGAGCCATCCTCTGCCGGCTGGGCCTCGGACGACTCCTTCTCTTCTGATTCCGCGTCTGGAGAAGAAGATGAGGGTCCTGCCTACTGTGTGCCACCCAAAGAAGGTAGCCCCCAACAGCCCACTGGGGCTACTTCAAATCCTGCTTGGGTGTCTGCGAATCCTTCTGATCCCTTTGTCCTACAGATATAATCATTCCCTGTATTGTACTATTTCTATAAAGTGTACAAACTTTTATTGTGGTATATAAAATAGAAACAAGCTAAATTTCTGTCCTTACCAAGCTTTTAGTCTGGTGGGCAGTAATCAGACACTTATAGGACAGAGTGATATGTGCTTTGATGGGGGACATACAAGGAGGGGCTATAATCCAGCCATGTCAGAGGAGATTGGGGTCAGGGAAGATGTCTCAGTGATTTTGGAGTTGAGTCTAGTGGAATCAGGAGTCAGCCAAGTGAAAGTTAGGGAGAGGGGGAAGGGATGTTTCAGGAAGAGAAAACTGTACACAAAGGCCCAGAGGTGAGAGGGACATGGCTGTGTGGCATTGAAGAGTTTTAGCTTGGTGAGAGGGTGGCGTTAGGTCAAAGTAGGGAGGGTGAGAAAAGGTGTAGAAGTAGTAGTGCCCATTGAATAGGCCCAGTTTCCGCCTCTTTGCATCCTCGCTCTCTACCTTGCCCCGTTTTTGAGGCCTCCCAGAAGATGGTGATCTAGGTAAACGGGATGGGGTGGGGTGGCCAGCCCAGCTTTGGCCAAGTTCTTCTATCTCTTCTGCCAGGCATGGTCCCTGTGACCCAGGTGGAGTCGCCAGAGGCCAGCCTGGTTGGAGGTCCCTTCGCTCCCCCTGAGGATGCCTCCACACCATTCGCCATCCCACGCACTTCCAGCCTAGCACGGGCCAAGAGACCATCAGTCTCCTTTGCCGAAGGTACCAAGTTTGCACCGCAGAGTCTCCGGAGCTCAGGGGAGCTGTCCAGCCCGCTCCGAAAGCCCAAGCGGCTCTCCCGAGGGGCCCAGCCAGGTCCTGAAAACCAGGAGGCTGAGGAGTCCACAGGCTCTGAGCAATCAGAAAAGGACAAGGCCCCTCCTGGGGCACCCAGCCCCAGGGATTCAGCCGTTGGCCACCGCCGGCTCCCAGTTGGTGGCCGGACAGTGGCTGAGCGTGTGGAAGCCATTGAAGGCAGTGTCCAGAAGAGCTCAGTCTCCGTAACCACAATCTACATGCTGGCAGGGACACCCCGGGAATCCGAGGGCCCAGTCCGGTCTGTCCTCCGCCGTTTTGGTAGCTTCCAGAAGGGCCAGACAGAGCCCAAGGTCAAGAGTGCCATCGTCAAGACTCCACATCGGGCACTGAGTCGGAAAAAGGGCAGCTCTGGGCTGGCGTCTGGCTCTGCCAGTCAGAGCCCTGGCTCAGCCCCGAATGAGGAGCTCACTGGGGCCTTGCAGCCTGCAGGAACTGGGCCAGAGGAAGTGGCCAGTGGGATGAGGGGTGGCATCAAGAGCTCAGGGAGGGTCCAGAAGCTGGCCCCCAGTGACCCCCCAGAACAGGAACCCCAGAAGCTGGCTGATGACGAAGGGCAGGAGGAGCCCCAGTATGAGAATGTTGCACCCATCTCTGGGCCACCAGAGCCTTGAGGACCATAAATTTGGGGAGTGGGAAGACTATAGATGGGGGGTAGGCATCTGAACTGCCCCTGCATCAGATTGTATTTTGTGCTGGGAAAAGGTCCCAGGGCCAGGAAAGACCGACCAGTACCTCTGCCTTTCCATGGGGAAACATCCGAGGTAGAAGCCAGTTGGCTCTGGGCCCTGGCAGTGTGCCAGGGATGGTCTGGAAAACCTGGGCAGAGACGCCATGGGATGGGGTCAGGAAGGGAACGAGATGGCTGCAGGGACTTTTTTCTGTTGTCCTGGACTTTATTTGCCGCACAAGCCTATTCTTTCCTTCATTTGCAAAATATTTGTCTGAAATGGGAAACAACCTAAATGTTTGATGAGAAAAAAATTGGTTAAAGAAAAAAATTTTTTAATAATAGGTTCCTAAACAACCACAAAAATTATGTTGTGTAAGAATATTCAATATGAGAGATATGAGAGAATGTTCATGCTATACTGTTAAGTATAAAACTAAGTTTTCTTTTTATAAATTTCATTTCTTTTTGCCTCAGGATACATGTTTAGAATTCTTCCATTTACGTATATTTTGTGATTATTTTACAAACATTCTCTTAAAGGATGTATGTGCATAAAGATTCGAGGGAAAGACATCAAATGGCATTTTTCTCTGGGAGATGAGATGATCTTTATCTTCTTTTTCATTTATTTTTTAACACTTAAAAAAATTGATTTTAGAGAGATGGAGGGGGAGAGAGAGAAACATCAATGTGAAAGAGAAACATCGATCGGTTCCCTCCCAAAGGTACCCCAACTGGGGATCGTACCCACAACCTGGGTATGTGCCCTGACTGGGAATCAAACCCAACCTTTTGGTGCATGGGACAATGCTCCAACCGAGCCATACCTGCCAGGGCTTACTTTCTTTTTAAACTTTTGTATAATTTGCAAATTTTCTACAGTGAACATTCTTTTTACTTTTCTCACTAGATTGGTTTTTAAAAAGAAATGTTCTTTATTAAAAATCAATAGGACTAACATTACAGACATGTGTGAAATAAAAATGAGATTTCCTTTCTCCCCAGAGGAATCTAGGGACCAGGGAAGGGCCAGATTTACTTTTCACTGGATGTCTTCTTGTTCTGAATTCTTTCCTCACATGCTTGTATTACCTAGTCAGGAAGTAAAGAGCAGCTTCCCCTCCTATCCCAGTGCTCAGAGAATCTCATGAACAGTTTCGATGCTTCCTTTCTGATGTTTTCTGTGCACCTGAAAACAAAAGAGCATACTGTTCTGCAATTTGCTCTTTTACTTAACAATATATCCTGGATATCTTTCAGTGTCAATAAATATAAAGCTACCTCTTTTTTTAAAAAAATATGTGGAAATAACACGGATTATTTAAACCATCCCCTATTTATGGGGATTTGGGTTGTTTCTAATTGTTTGATACAATAAATGATGCACTGTACAACTTTGTCCATATATCTTTTTATATTTGTGCAAGTTTTTCTATAGAAGAGATTCCTGGAAGTGGAATTGCTGGGTTATGGAGTAAGAACATTAAACATTTGTGTACTTACTCCAAGTTGCCCTCCAAAAAAGTTGTACGGTTTTGTGTTCTCACAAATTATGGCGGTATCTATTTCCTCACATCCAATCTGATAAGTTTAAAATGGTATCATTATTTTAGGGCAATAAAAATAAAGTAATAACAGGTCAAAGTTGTGTGTTTTTTTTCATAGTCACTTTTATTGAGAACTATAGTTTTAGGAAATGTTAAAGCTTCTTAAAAAGTTTTGACTTTTTACCTTTGATCAGGTAAAAAAATTTTATTTTTCCTTTTTAACCGTCAAAAATGTTATCATTAAAATCTGAATTTCTATGATTATTCTAAGATTCAGATTCTTTTCAAATCTTTAATAGTTATTTCCATAGTTATGAAAAATGTAAAACTGACCTTGGTAAATCTGATCTCTGTGAAAATCAGTCAGAAACGCTTTACCATTTGTCCTGCAGGCTAAAGTTCAAGTTCTTCAACCTGACCCACACAGGCTCTTTCCTCCCCTCCAGGCTCTCTCTTCCCCTGGAGGCTGGTTGACCTGCCTGGTCCTAGACTCTCCAATCATATGGAATTGCTTGTGGTTCCTGCACATGCTGTTCTCTCACCTCTAGCCCTCAGAGTCCCTTTTTGGACAGCTCCTCCAGGAAGCCTTCCCTAACCACTCCCTAGAACACTTTCCATTATCTTTGTTCACTGATTGCATTATATATCTTTAATATCCTTGAAGTATATAAATCAGTGAGAAAAAGATGAACACTTCAAATAAAACTGAGGAAAGAAAATAACCAGATAATCTATAGGAAAAATACAAACAACTTAAAGATTTGAAAAGAAGCTCAATCTTAGAATAATAATAGAAATTCAGATTTTAATTATACCATTTTTGAAGTTTAAAAAGCGAAAATAAAAAATTTTCCATAGCTCACTTGGATGGGGTGGGGTGGAGAGGTGGATTTCAGGGTCTGAGACTGGAGGTTGGATGAAGCAGTTGGAGTCCTAGGAACACATAGATAGGCACATTAGGAAATACGGCTGTATTGGTGGAGAGGGAAAATAACAGCAGGTGTTGAAAGGGTGGTTCGCAGATGTTGAAAGGGTGGTTCACGGTCTCTAACTTCAGTAGCTAGTGGTACTATTATCTGTGAAAGAATGAGAGGAACAGTTTTGGAGGGAGAAAGTGAATTATTTTAGAGGTGTGTTTGAAACAGTTTAGAAATGTGTATGTAACAGCTGCCTGGAGATGGCCCTCAAGCAGGTGGCTCTAGGAGGATGGAGGGAAGGACTGAAGTTTGTCAGGTGGTGGTCGCAATCTTGTAAGTGGGTGAAATTCTGCATCGTGGGTAACGGGGTAGGTAACCAGCAAGGCTCCTCCAAGCCAACAGCTGCAGGCGTAGCCTGAACGAGGTTGCAGCGGCGGGTTCACGGCAGCAGGGGGCGCTGTCGGACTGGGGGACATGGAGCAGAAGGCTGCTGGGGCTCCCACTGCCCCGGGAAAAGATCGCTCCAAAAGCGTGCCTGGGAGACCTAGCTGAATCTGGGAAGGCCCAGGGTCCTCTGAGGTCAGGCTAGTGTCTCCTAGACGGGGGACGAAGTCCGGCAGCTGAACCTCCGGAGCCTGGGCTCCATGCCCCTGCCCAGTTTGCTTCTCAGACTGGGAGCTGGAGCACTCCCGGCCTAGCGCGTTCTTCCGGAGGCCTGACTCGTCCTTGCAGCTTGGCGCTGCCCACCATGTCACCCTAAAGAGGGCCCCCCGAGGGAGACGTCCGGGAATGGGGTGAAGGTGGAGTACGTCAGTGGGTATGGGAGAGTCAACTTGGGCACGGTTCCTGAGGGGGCCAAGAGGAGTGGGTCAGTCTGGATGAGGCAAAGGGGGGAGACACCATGCTAGGCGACAGACAAGCCCCAAACTCCCACCTGGGGATCCCCGAGGGACACCTTCCAGGGACCAGGCAGATGGCACTCAGGAGCGGGAGAGCAGAGCAGATGCACACCACGCCTGGACAGGGTCGGGAGATCCGGAATGGGCAGGCAGTGCGTGGGTGGGGGTACTGGAGGGTGGGGGCGAGGCACCAGGAGGGCAGGGATGCCTGGGGAGGAGGCACTGGACGCTGCGGGAGTGGAACGACCCACAGGGAGCCGGAGCATCACGGCACGGTGCCCAGGGCAGAGTTCGGGAAGCTGGGGACTCTAGCGGGCCCGAGCTGGGTGCGCGAGGGGGCGGGAGTGCAGCTGGGGAAAGCTGGGGGGCGCCGGTAGGAGGAACCGGAGGTTCGGCCCGGGGCAGGTATAAGGGGTGGGGCTCCGGAGAGGCAATAGGATAAAGCCTCCAGGGGGTTCCAGCCCGGCTGTGACTCCAGTTTGAGGTGGCAGAGCAGAGGCTTGGCCCACCGGGGGCCCCACACCCCCCACACCCCCAGTTCTCTTGTTTGTCTTCGAGTCCGGCCGGAACCGGCTTCGGCTCGCCGCCTGGCGGGCGAGTGCCTGCGGATTGGCCAACGCCTGTTTCTAGCTCTACTCAGCCAATCAGCGTGCGTCAGTGTTTTCTGCTTGGGGTCCTAATAAAAGGGCTGGAATAAAAGGGGACAGTAAAAGCGCCGGCCGGGCCCGACACACAGCAGTAGGAGCCGGGTGAGCTGGATTCTGGGAATCTGGGCCTCGGGTGGGGGTGTTGGGGGCAGAAGCCTCACGAGGAGGGGTTGTAAGGGAGATGTGTGAATATGAGAGGAAAGAGACTGGATGGATGAGGAGCCGCCAGAGGAGATGACGAATTTAGGAGGAGCAAGGAAATGGAGGAACCGGGATCCGTTTCCATCGAAAAGGGCAAATTGCCGGGGACACAGCCCAGGATGGGGGTCGCGCAGGTGGCTCGCGCCGCCGGTTTGAACCGGCTTCGCCTCCCATGCGGGGTTCGCGTGGCCGCAGTGCCTAGCGACCTAGACAGCGGCCAATGGCGCGGCAGTTCCTGTGCCATCAGGCCAATCAGCGAGCCGTAGGCGGACTGGAGCGAGCTCGGTGCGCTGATCTAGTGGTTGAAGGAACCAGCCCTGGGGAAGGGTCTCCATTGCGGGCGGGCGCCTGTCAGGATCTGAGCGAGTGGCCGCCCTCAGGTACGCCCCTGTTCAGGTGTCCTTACCTCAGGCTGCCACCCCTGCGGACTCCCAAGCTATGTCAATCATGCTGGGAGCCAGGACGAATTCCACGTCCCTGAGCAGGCGTTAGTCCCTTCCTGCTAGCATACCTCAGTTTACCTCTGAGCGAGCTGAGGGAGAAGTCTCCCTGCCTGGCCTGCACGGCTCTCCCGTCTCCGAGGGCAGCCGTATAGGTCAGCCGCGGTGGGTGGCCCAGGTCCCGGGCAAGGCTGGGGCTTCCTTGGCAGCGCGCACCTGCAGCCCGGGCCGCAGAGGGGTGACAAGCTCCGCGTTGCCGCAGGGGCCGAGTTCGGCCGCACCGACTGGTCAGGGCCGGGGGCTGACGCCGAGGTCTGTGTGCAGGTGGCTGCAAAGCCGGAGCCGGGCCACCTCGCCGCGTCATGGCGCCCACCTTGGCCACTGCCCATCGGCGCCGCTGGTGGATGGCCTGCACGGCGGTGCTGGAAAACCTCCTCTTCTCGGCAGTCCTCCTGGGCTGGGGCTCGCTGCTCATCATGCTCAAGTCAGAGGGCTTTTACTCCTACCTGTGTACTGAGCCAGGTGAGAGGGCGCGTGGGGCTCGGCTGGGGTGGTTCCTGGGGTGGGGGCTTTTGGATAGGGCGAGATGGCGGGACAGACCTAGCCAGCAATACTACCTCGCCGCGCAGCGCCTCCGGGTTAGCGAAAGGCCTATTGGATCCTCACCCAGCTCTGCCGGGTACATACCATTGTTCCCGTTTTATGGATGAAGAAACTGAGGCTCAGACGGATCTTCTGACTTGCCCAAGGAACTGTAATAGAATCAGAACCCCTAAATCCGGGGTGTTATTTCCACCACCTGGGAACATTGTTGGACACCTCTCCTCCCAAGGCCTGGGACATCACTTGCCTTGCATTAAGCATGATATTCTGTGACTGTAGAAAGAGGAACTCCTGACTCAGTGCCTGGGGTGTAGCAAGAGAGAGGAAGTGGCTTGGCCTCCACCCTGTGGAAGGTTCATCTAGAATTTAGATGTTTTTTAGTCAGATCATTATGGAGTCTCTTAAGGGCTTGTCAGATACAATTTCTTGTCTGTTTTTGCTGCTTTGTGATTTCCCAATGGACATTTCCTCCCACAGGCTGTGAGAACATCTCAGTGGCCTTCCATTGGGGAGGGGGGGGGCAAGGGGGGTACTTATAGAAATGGCACTAGGTCTGTCCTTTCCCTTTGCCACACCGTTGGTGTTGCTGAATGCTGGCTGAGGATGCTGGTCTACAGGAATAGACCCCCATCCCTACCTACATACTTCCCAGCCCCGTGTGAAGGTCCTAATTGTTGCACCTCAGTAGGTTCAGCCCAACAGTGGGACTCAGGTTGCTCCCAACTTCTACCCTCCTACCCATTTCCTAGGTTATCTGGATAGGAAACATTTCCCTCTGCGCTCTTGCTGTCTCCAGCAGTTCAGCCTAATAGTTGAACTCAGTAATGCCTCTCCCCATTACCTTTGTTAGCCAGCCCCTGCCTGAGTCCCTTTAAATGGGGACAGCCCAATTTGACTCCCTGATCACACCACCAGCATTCATTGTCTTTCTAGAGTTCTTAGTTTGGGGAAAGAAAAAGTTCTGAACCAGTTCATGCTGCCTGTAACCCCATGTAGAGTCCTTCCTGCTCTTCTCTGACCTTCCCAGGATACTTGTGAGTGTTCCAGTCTCTAGGGGAGCCTAGCTGGAGAGGTTTAGGGCAGGGGAAAGGGAGGGGATGCACCGGCTCCTGGGAGAGGGCAGAGAGTGTATCATTTCAGGGCAAAGAGTGTATCATTTCGAACCTTTAGCCTTTAGCCACTCAGAAATATTTCCTGATAGCCTAAGGGTTCTTGGCAGAGCTTTCCCCATGTCAGCAAGAAATCTTGGGAGATGGGAAAGTCACTCAGACCTTGTTCCTCACAGAAGCTTTCTGTTCTGCCCAAGAAATGTTAGATTAATGACTCTGGAAGGAACAGGTTGGAGAGTATTTGGCTCCTCTACTCCCTTCCTCTCTCCCTTTTAGATCATGACCCTTCCTGCTTGCCTCCCTGGGCTCTCTCAGGCTGCACAGAAAGTCTAAAAAATAAAAAAAAAAGTCATCACCCCCAGGTGAATTTTTTAGCATCTTGTTCACACTGGAGGACTGCTATATTCAATTTTTTTTTTTTTTTTTTTTTTTACCCTCTTGGTATTGGAAGGTCAGATTCTAGGGTTCTTCCCCAGTTTGTACACTGATTTAATTTATTTTATGGTATTGGCAGCATTGGGGCTGGTCACTTTATTCCTGCCTCAACCTTAGCTACTTCCTTAGTTTAAGTGGGAGGAGTCCCAGAGATTGTGCCAACCCCGTGCTGAGTTAGTATTTAAGCCTTTAAGGCTTGACTGGTCCCTCTTGTAGCCCAAAGTGAAGGTGAAGGTGAAGGTGAAGGTGAAGGGTCAGGGTGTGGGTTGAACATCAACTTCTCATCCCATGCCTTTGCTCCTGCCTCTGATTTTGGTTTCTCTGACTCTCTGGCAAACCCACTGACTCAGCATCCTCAGCAGGCAGGCCTGCTGATTCTATACAGCTTATCTCTCTGGCCTCTATGTTCCTGCTTCTGGGAGTCCAAGTAGCCTGTTGCCTTTCAGAGTCAGGAATCCCTGTGCATCGCCTGACTGGAAGGATTTAAGGTCAAGGTTTCTGCTGAGGTCTAATATTTTCAAACTTGGTGGATGGCTGAATTGCAGAGGAGCAGTTAAGCCATTTATTGAATTTATTGAATTAGACTTGTGAAAAGCAGACCAGCCTACACCTGATTGAGATGCAAATTTGTCAGCTTTTTGTTGCTTTTAGGACTGATGCTTTGGTTTGTCCTCTAAAGAAACTTTGCCTGAACCTGTTGAAAGGTTCTCAGAACTCTTTGTTGGGACTCCAGCCAGAATCTGGCCACAGACACAGTGCTGGGTTCCAGCTTGGTGAGGTGGGAGAAGGAAAGAAAGAGCCCCTTTCTCTGTTGCTACTGAGCTCTTTTTGCCCTGCCTGCTGGACAGTCAGGATTGATGACAGGGGCCGGGGCTGGGCATTTACGTTTTGCCTCCCCACCAGTCCCCCTGGTGTGGGCAGGAGACTGACCGGGTCCCAGCCCAGGAGTAATGGGGCTTTTCCAGGACTGTTTCCTTTTGGCCTCTAGATGGCCACTGTAACCACCCACACATGACCTCTTTCTTCACTTTCTCTGTCATCTGGTGGCCCATTTCAGCAGGGGCAACTCAGGAGCTGGTGCTACTTGTGGATGTTTCATCTCCTCTTTCATCTAACCTGTACTTAAACAGTTTTGAGGTGCTATCCTGGAGTGCAGAGCTTTCCTGGCCCTCAGGGTATCTGCAGTGTGCCAGCATCAAACGAGTCACCACACACAGTCCTGTATAATTTCAAGTGGCGGTCAGGACTCCAACGGACAGCAGCATATTAGCACTGAGAGTGACAGTGGGGATCTGATTGAACTTGGGTGGGAGGGCCTCTGTGATGTTTAGGTAGAAGTGTGGAATGTGAGGAAGAGTGAGTCTGGAGAGAAGGGGGCAAGAAACCCTGAGGCAGACTGAATGCTGGAGAAGAGGAGAGAAAGGACTGAGGGGCGGGAAGGGGCCTGGGCCTGCAGGGTTGGGGAAGCTGCTTGGGGAGACTGGATTTTATTCTCAAGGCTAGAAGTGAGGGAGGCCGAGGTGGGCGATCAGTTTCACCTCTTAGATTCTTATGAATTGTTGAGGGTTTGCCACATGCTAGGTGGGGTGGGGGCTATGAAGGTGAGAGACATGGCCTCTGCCTGAAGGAGTCACAGTCCAGCCTAGCCATACACACCAAGGCAGACCCAGGTCTGTGTTCTCGATCACTGTAGTGCCTCTACCTGTGGTGTGGGGGGAAGAGCCATACCTATCCTCACGGAAACAAAGCAGGAAGCTGGCCGTCAGGGTTCTGAGAGGGCAGAGGGGCCGCCATCCCAGGGAAGCAGGACCAGGCCTGGTCCCCACAGGGCTGGGCCGAGGCTCCAGATGTGGACAGGAGATATTCCCTATGACTTCGACGCCCTCCTCCCCTTTTTTTTAATTGAATTTTTTTGAGTGACTGGTTAATAAAATTATAGGTTTCAGGTGTACAATTCTATAATATATCATCTGTATATTGTATTGTTTGTTCACCATCCCAAGTCAAGTCTCCTTCTATCACCATTTATCCCCCCTTTACCTTCTGCCTCCCTCCACCCCTTTCCCTCTAGTAATCACCATACTGTTGTCTGTGTCTTTGAGTTTTTTTCTTTTTGCTTAATCCCCTTCACCTTTCTCACCCCCTCCAACCCTCTCCCCTCTGAGAGCTGTCAGTGTTTTCTCTGTATCTATGAGTCTGTTTCTATTTTGTTAGTTTATTTTGTTCATTAGATTTCACAAATAAGTGAAATCATATGTATGTGTCTTTCTCTGACTGGCTTATTTCACTTAGCATAATACTCTCCAGGTCCATCCATGGTGTTAAAAAGGGTAAGATTTTTGTCTTTTTTATGGCTGAGTAGTATTTCATTTTGTAAATGTACCACAGCTTTTTTATCCACTCATCTACTGATGGGCACTGCTTCCAAATCTTGGCTATTGTAAATAATGCTGCAGTGAACATAGGGGTGCATATGTTTTTTCAAATTAGTGTCTTAGGTTTTTTCAGATATATTCTCAGAAGTGGAATCACTGGGTCATAAGGCAGTTCCATTTTTTTATTTTTTGAGGTAATTCCATACTGCATTCCACAGTGGCTGCTCCAATCTGCATTCCCACCAACAGTGCATGAGGATTCCCTTTTCTCCACATCCTTGACAACACTTGTTGTTTGTTGATTTATAGATGATAGAAATTCTGACAGGTGTGGGGTGATATACAGTGTGGTTTAAATTTACATTTCTCTGATAATTAGTGACGTTGAGCATCTTTTCATGTCTATAGGCCATCTGTATGTTCTCTTTGGAGAAGTATCTGTTCAGGTCCTTTGCCCATTTTTTTTTTTTTTAAATATATATCTTTATTGATTTCAGAGAGAGAAAGGGAGAGGGGGAGAAACATCAATGATGAGAGACTGCCTCCTGCACGCCCCCGACTGGGGATCGAGCCCGCAACCTGGGCATGTGCTCTGATCGGGAATTGAACCCGGATCGCCTGGATCCTAGGTCGATGCTCAACCGCTGAGCCACGCCCGGCTGGGCCCATTTTTTAATTGGATTGTTTGTTTTTTTGGTGTTGAGTTGTATAAGTTCTTTATTGTTTTTTTAAAATTGATTTTAGAGAGAGAGGAAAGGAGAGGGGTAGAGAGAGAAACATTGATGTGAGAGAGAAACATCAGTCAGCTGCCTCCCTTGCACATATCCTAACCAGGAATTGAGCCCAAAATCTGGGCATGTGCCCTGACCGGGAATTGAACCAGCAACGTTTTGGTGCATGGGACAACGTTTAACCCACTGAGTCATACTGGGCAGGGCAAGTTGTCTGAGTTCTTTATAAATTTTGGATATTAACCCCTTATCAGATGTATCATTGGCGA